TCTCTGGGGATCTATGGAACAGTGGGCGGGTTTGGATGCCCAGATTCTGCATTATGATTGGATGATCTGTCTGAGCCCTTTTTGATTGACAGCGAAATGAGCGAATCAGAGATATTTTGGTGTAAACATTCAGTGGGAGCAGTTTTTAGTTTCATTTCTGTTCTGAGCTGAACCGGAGAGACTTTCCTAATCCGCTTAGCTGCATTTTCTTTGTTAAAAACGACTAGCAACAAATCGAGTTTTTATTTTTGGTGGGTTTTATTGTATCTGCTTGTGTTTGGAGACAGACTTCTATCACTCTTTCTGACGTCTATCACAGTTTATGTCCTGCGGGTGTTGCTGAGCCCCTCCTCCGTCACAAAGCACTCAAAGGCGGACACACTTCACTCTAGCCTCGCGCCAGTCCCAGCTAGCAAGTTAGCTAGGTAGCAAGCTGCACATAATGGCAGACAGTTTGGTTGTGGCCCGGACTTTGGAGAAGCCATTTGATGGTCTTCCTTACAAAGAAAAACTTAGAGTTAAACAGCAGGGCTGACCAACTCCTTAGATTAATTTGCTGCAAAAGATGGGGAAACGGAAGATTAAAAAAAACATTTTCATTGATCCACAGTGGGGAAATAACAGGTCTTTTCAGCTGTCCTGGTATAACAAAGTGAGCTGGCTGCTGTAAAAGACTATAGAATAATCTGGAAAATGATTAGAAAAGCATTGGATCAATTAATTCCTTTAAAATATCATCAAAGCAAAATTGTCAAAGAAATTTGAAATTGTTTAATTTGTATTTGTATGAGTCACTGTTTGAGGAGTTGAATTTTTTGTTTTGTTTTATTATTTGGTTTATTGTTTGAAATTAATATTTTTTGTAAATAGGAGCAGATATCTTTTTCTTCTCCTGCTGCCTTTCATTTTATTTTATTTGTATTGTTTTGTTGTATGTAATGTTTTGTTTTTTAAAATGAAATGAATAAATACTGTAAACTAAAAAACGATCAGTGACAGGGTCACAGATCATTTTCTTGAAAAGGAACAGAGGGTAGAATTTATAACCCACACATTTTATTATGTAGGCTGAAACTGAGCTTCCTCTCCTTGAAAGACCAGCATCCGCCACTGTTAGATATGAGATTCAACTAACACATATTACACATTTTTTCACATCAAGTAATTTTTATTTTAAAAAGTTGCAGTTTCTTAATATACTAGTAATGTATATGCTGTTAATCAGCATTCTGTGAATATAATGATTTTTTTTTAACTAACATCTAACTAACACAGTTTGAAATGGTCATAATTAAATCCATGCTGTTCTTCAGTCTGGCATCATGTCAACACCCTCCAACTCCCAACAGCCCAATACCACCACAGTTTAAAAAATCCTAGAGCAGGGGTTCTTAACCTTTTTGACCTCGGGGCCCAATTTTTTTCCCAACCAGGAGTACATGTACCCATTGAGGTACGCAAAGCATTTTACAGGGGGTACGAGGAAAAATTTCCCAGATGTGTAAAAAATATATATACAGTAGGACTGAGATTTGTAGGGTCCAATGTTTTCCGCAATGTGGAAATTGCAGACGGAATCAATTTGTAGGTTCCAATGTTTTCCGCAATGTGGAAATTGCAGACGGAATCACAGAATTAACACAAAATGGAATCCAGTATAAAACATGGAATATGATGTGATTTGGACACTGCTGTTTTCTGCACCTGCCATTACCTTGTCAATTTATTTAATTACTTATTCACTTTCAAGGCAACGTTTTTATCTAAAAATATCTAAAAAGGTTGAGAACCACTGGTCTAAAGTCCTGAAATACTCCAGCACTCAGTACATTGGACAGTTCCTCCAGCCTTTCACACCATCTAAAGTTGTAAAACCTCCAAGCACATTCAGGACCTTGGACAGTTCCTTCAGCCCCTCACACTGGCTAAAGTCCTAAAATACTCCAGCACTTTCAGGACCTTGAACAGTTTCTTCAGTCCTTCACACTGGCTAAATTCCTGAAATACTCCAGCACTTTCAGGAACTTGGACAGTTCCTTCAGTCCTTCACACTGTCCAAAGCAGTGATTCCCAACCTAGGGAAACGTGAGCATATAACAGGGGTTACGTGGAAAAATAGGCACTGTGATGGACTTGCGACCTGTCCAGGGTGTACCCCACCCCTCGCACTGTGACTGCTGGATATGGGCACCAGTGACCCACGCAACCCTGAAAAGGAAGAAACGTGTACAGAAAATGGATGGATGGATGGATGGATGGACGTGGAAAAATATCCCAGGTGTGTAAAAAAATAAATAAAAATATTGACTGAGATATGTAGGGCCCTGTGATTTCCACAATGTGGAAATTGCAGACGTAATCAAGGAATTAACACAAAATAGAATCCAGTATATAACCTGGAATCTCACAGAATTTGCTCATTTGGGTGAGTTTGATGTATTTTGGATAATACAATGTATCTTGGATGCTGCCGTTTTCTGCACCTGCCATTACCTGATTTATTTATTTAATTACGTATTCACTTTCAAGACAACATTTTTATCTTTATGTTTAATTTGAGTTTGACAGAGGGGGTACTAGAGGTATGACAAAATGACTCAGGGGGTACACAAGTCTAAAAAGGTTGGGAACCACTGGTTTAGAGATATGGTGTGAATTAAGTTTTGGTTCAGGTTAGGGTTAGCTATAGACCAGTAATGGTTAATTTTAGGGAAAATGTCTGGGTTAGGCATAAATACAGTTACAAAATGAATGGAAGTCAATACAAAGTCCTCAGTTTGATGTAAATACATGGATGTGTGTCTGTGTGTCACATTCTGTGGCTGTATGTGAAATCAAGCATATATATATATATATATATATATATATGAGGTAATGCTTTCAGCAACACAAGATAATCAGGTTAGCTTATTATAATTTCAATCAAACGTAGAGAGAAAAACTGTCTGTGAGGCCACTGAAAGAAAGACAAATTGGTTTGAGTGAAAAATGTGAAAAAAAAAAAGTCACATGATTAAAATCTAGGGGTGCACGATAACTATCGGCCCAAAAGTTATCGGCCCAATATCAGGAGATTATGACGTATACTTATTGGTCTGATATCATAACAAATAGAACCAATAATATATGTACATGTTTGCCAGCGCGGCAGTAAGTATGCTTATTTATTTTTATCCTTTTTTGGTCAAGCCGCTCCCCGTCCTGCCCAACCCGCACAACATTCAAGTTGTGTCGGAAAAAACTACCTTTTCACTAGAAAAATAATTAGAATACTTTGTGCTGGAAAACAACCAGTCATTTAATAGTTATTAAAATTATTTTACCAATTAACCCAGCCAAGACTTGTACTTTTGTTTTGTACTTATTCAGTTTTGTGTATTTCTAGTTAGTCTTTCCTCTGTTCAGTTTCAGCTTTGTTCCTGCTTCTGTTTCTGTCACACCTACCTGCACCTGATCTGGTTGTCCCTGCACAGGTGTCAGTGTTTTCAGTTCATTAGTTTGTCTTTAGATTCCTGGTTTGTGCTTTGTTTCAGTGTTCTGCCATTACTTTGTCTTTTGGTTAGCAGTAAATCTGCTCTGCTTTGAGAGCTGTTTGTTTGTTGCCACAACAGCATTTTTGTTTGAGTTAATAAACTTCCAGTTTTAGTTCCTACCTCTTGCCTCTGTCTGCCTCCTGGGTCCAACCTTTAATACAATCCACCATACATGACAAACCCTGTATGTTACGCACAAACTTTATAATTATAAACATAAAAAGGTCAAAACAACTACTCCCAATTTAGAACATGTAATGTCTGTTACCTCATGAACGCAACACAAAGTTATTGCGCATCCCTGTTTAAATCAAACACGATGAAAAAAAAAACGAACTCATTGTTTTGACCTAAAATAGTTTCAATGGTAATTGTGAGAATTCACTGCTATAATATTCTGCTCTAACAATAACTGAGTCTAAAGTTAAACACAGGAAGGTCCACTCACAGTTTAAGGCACTGGGACTTGGTGCAGTGGCAGGGTTTCCTGGATTTAAGCTGGAAGAAGCTCCCAACAGATCTACAGGTGCAAAAGAGGATATTTAATTCAGTTTTGGTAAAAATATTCATAACAGTTTTCATTTTTCTTGTGTGAGTCACAAATGTCAGGATTCCCACGTTTTGTCTTTTCTCTTTCAATAGCAAACATTATCAAGTAATAGTCTTTATTGTCTCATAAATTAAAATGTTTTTTTCTTGAATAAACAAACAATTGTTAAAAAAAAGAAAAAATAATTTATCCCACTAGCCATAGTGTTTACCTCTCAGCTGAGACAGGGGGCTGAAAGATGTCTGCATGATCTCCACACTCATCAAAGCAGCGAGCTCTGTGCTGGTACTGAGGAAACTACACACACATACAATTGTTGATTCATTTATTAAACATTCAGAATACAAAAGATGAAGGAGAATTGAACTCTTTTCTTACCTGACTCGGAGTCTCCAACACACTTTCTGAAAAACAAAAAAAGAAAGGAGAATGAGTGCTGAGACCCAAATTCTATCAACAACATTAAAGATGTTTAGACTTAGTTATGAGGAAACATGATATGATATGTGTTACACAGAAACTAACACCCAATTCTGGGCTCACAGTAAGCATCAATCAAATAAAATGTAGTAGTGTCAAACAACACTGAGGAGTATGAACATAACAGCACAGTTCTGTAGAGGGGAACAGTCCTGGCTGGGAGGAAGTTTCCATGAGTTGGACTGTGTTTCAGTCTGGTTGTTCTGGTTCTGATGATGCAGGTGTACTGCTGCTGCTCAGAGTCTGCTGCATCAGGACAGAGAAATTTCCCAGGTGTTCAGGTTTGGTTTGTTTGTTCTTTACATGTTGTCCTCATGTTTCTGTGGTTTCCTCTCACAGTCCAAAAAAAAAAAAAAAACATCAACATTAGGCTCTCTACAGGCCCAGGCCTCCCTTGCAAAAGAGTGAGATTTGCCTGATTAAATAAAGGTTAATAAATACAAATAATGAAAGTCTCAGAAAGTAATCACTGGAGCGACGTCTGTTAGAGCTCTGCCGACATGGATGTTTTTCATGACCAATGATGATACCAGTATTTAAAACTCAAGGAAGTCGATGGCAATGTGCCATATTTATACTCTTTTACTTATTGTTTAATAAAACAGTGCTAATAAAAAAAAAAAAACTTTAAATTTTGGTGCATTTATTGTCACAAATCACATCCTAGTTTGTTTCGTTTCAATGGACCCAAGATTTAGTCTCACTCATCTTGTGAAAAGAGTTGTGCATATGTATGGAGATATATATTATACTGTGTATAGGTG